GATTAGAGGCCTGATGAGCAAGTCATACGAGCAAAGGCCAACAGATATGGGACTGCTCAGCCTAGAAACGAGAAGATTTCAGGGGGATTTGGTGACAGCTTATAAATATATCAGGGGTCAGCATTGGGGGTTAGGCAAACAACTGTTCACCAAAGCATGCCAGGGAAAACCAGGAGCAACGGTCATAAACTCCTAGAAGGTTTCAGATGGGATATAAGGAAAAACTTCTTCACAGTTCATGTGACCAGACTCTGGAATAGACTCCCAGAAGAGGTGGTGCAGGCACCTACCCTGGAGATCTTCAAAAGGAGACTGGATGCACACCTTGCTGGGGTTATTTGACCCCAAAAGTCTTTCCTGCCCAGAGCAGGGGGGCTGGACCCAATGATCTCATGAGGTCCCTTCTAGCCCTAAACTTCTGTGAATCTGTGACCTCAGGAGGTCATTTGGTCCAACCCCCTGGTCAAAGCAGGCCGATCCCCAACTAGTTCATCCCAGCAAAGACTTTGTGTAGCAGGGTCTTAAAAACCTCCAAGGATGAAGAGTCCATAACCTCTCTGGGTAACTTGTTCCAGTGCTTCACTACCCTCCTCATGAGACAGTTTTTCCTAATATCTAACCTAAACTTTCCTTGCTGCAGCTTGAGACGATTGCTCCTTGTTCTGTTCTCTTCCACCACTGAGAACAGTCCAGCTCCATCCTCTTTGGAATCACCCTTCATGTAGTTGAAGGCTGATATTAAATCCGGCATCAGTTTTCTCTTCTCCAGAATAAATAAGCCCTCTCCTCATAAGTCATGTGCCCTAGCCTTCTAACCATTTTCATTGCCCTCTGCTGGACTCTCTTCAAATTGTCCACAACTGTAGTAGGAGGCCTCAAATTGGACACAGTACTGCAGATGTGACCTCACCAGTACTGAATAGAGGGGAACAATCACTTCCTTTGATCTGCTGGCAACCCTCCTCCTAATGCAGCCCACTGTGCTGTTAGCCTTTTCTGCAACAAGGGCTCACTGTTGGCTCATATTGAGCTTACTGTCCACTGTAACCCCCAAGTCCTGTTCTGCAGAGATGCTGGTTAGCCAGGTGGTCTCCAGCCTGTGCTGGTGAATGAGATTCTTCTGTCCTAAGTGAAAGACTTTGCACTTGTCCTTATTGAACATCATGGCTATGGACAGACATTCAAAAATCCTGAGGCTGAATTGTTTTAATCTTTGCAGGTTAGTCTAACCTGCCTAGGCTGAATCAGTTTGTAACCGTTCAGACATGCCCTCTGGACTGAAAAAATGCAGGCACATGCCTGCAGTGGCTTAGGCTAGAAGCCAGGGGGCGCTAAAGCAGCCCTCCCTTACTTTCCATAGTGCTG